TATATACAACAGCATAATATACTATAATATATTTTGCTTAACATATATAATCATTACCTTGGTCCTTTAGTCACAAATATCCATCCAGTTTTAACTCACTTTTCAATTCATAATATAGGGAATGAGACACACTGATTGTTAATGGTTATAATAGAGTAAGTGGGCAACTACACTGACAAATAGTACAGGAACTGCTCTAGGATTGGGACATCAGATTCATAGTATTTTCTGTTAACTATAAAATGTGTAAGTCATACCTTGGTCCTTTAGTCACAAATATCCATCCAGTTTTAACTCACTTTTCAATTCATAATATAGGGAATGAGACACACTGATTGTTAATGGTTATAATAGAGTAAGTGGGCAACTACACTGACAAATAGTACAGGAACTGCTCTAGGATTGGGACATCAGATTCATAGTATTTTCTGTTAACTATAAAATGTGTAAGTCAATGTGAAAGACCTGGACTTTTCCTCTCCTATTCTGTACTTTCCGTCTCCGCTCTCTACTGGTGCTTCTACTTTTTTTGCAAGCAAATGTATTTGCATCATTTCATGTGGTGTGATTGCTTGTGCTGATGCAGAAAAGCAACAGGTGTATGTGTAAGGGTGCTGATGGTTGGCAGAAAGGAGAGAGGGGAAGCAAAGGGGGTACTCATGGGGGTGTCAGATCTTCTCAACTCTTAATCTCCGAACAGTTTATTGGGGGGGGAAATGCTTTGTGTTAGAACTGGAATAAAGTTGCACTAAAGTACTTAGGAAGCAAATCAGAAAGACACAGAGAGAGGAAGAAATTGCTAGTCAATACTTGTCTGTAGCTTGTTTAGGTAGCTTCTGCTGTAACTGTGCCTCTGCCCCATCGATTCCTGCAAATCTGGATAGCTACAGCAGAAGTTGCCTTAATAAGCTACATACATGTGCTGACTGGCAATTGCCTCCTCTCTGTCCTCTGACTCCTATGTGATGGCTAAACTGAATTCACCAGGGGAAACCTGGTATCCATGTATATGAATCATACCAGATCAGTACATATTTTTGCCACTTTGTATTGGGAAGTTCACTTGATAGGTGAAATTCCTGGAAATTTTGCATTTTAAATTTGCAATTTTGAGGGAAAAACTAAAAGGTTTAATGCTTATTATTCTGGAAAAAAATAACTGCTGAAACAATGAAGTATTTGCAATATTTATTTGTGCTTTTTAAAAATAAAAGCAAACACAATCCTTTGATGTCTACAAGTGATATATGCTAATATATGGCAAGCTGAAGTGGGTTGATTTAGTGTGATGCATAACGATTTTGATGCAGGTAGGATGTATATCTATCTGCACAGTTACCACAACTTATAAACTTCTAGAAATGTACAAGTGTTATACTCAACACACTGGTACCTGCTGCCTTTTTTTTAATTTTGTAATTTTTCTGGACAACGCTCAAGAGCTAAACAAATCATTAAAAATATTGAGATAAGGATGCAATATTGAGATAAGGAGAAAATACAGTATTTTTGATCCACAATCCCTTGCATGCTCTGGGACACATGTGAGCTTCTCCCAACTCACAAAAGCTCCTTTTTAAATTTCACATTTATCTCTGCAGATATGACTCTGTGCAGACATGTAACCATTTGATAAAAGATGATAATTAGAATTCTGAAAATTCCATAGACTTCGTATTAAACCCACAAAGGTACCTGGAGAAATATAATAATAACCCTAGAAATGCAGGGCTGGAAGGGACCCTATGGATTATTGAGTCCAGCCCTTGTCAAGGAGGCACAGTAGGAGGAATTGAACTCACAACTAGAGATGGGGGTATTCATATTAGTATACAAATATCCCCACACAGGTGGCGTTAATGAGGGTCCAGCCCCATGGAGCCGGACAGTCCACTCACCCATTCGCCGCAAACGCGGACAGCGTGATTCTACAAATGGTGCCACAGTGCGCAATCCGCTTGCTATTCCCGGCAGGAGACAGAAGGAAAAGCCTTGCCACAAGGTCGAAGAGTGGCAAGCGGATCGCGCGCTGCGGTGCCATTTGTAGAATTGTGCCAATCACGTTGGTGAGTGGACTGTCTGGCCCCATCTCTACTTACAACCTCTAGCTTCACAGCTAGAGACCTAAGGACAGGCCTTGCCACAAGGTCGAAGAGTGGCAAGCGGATCGCGCGCTGCGGTGCCATTTGTAGAATTGTGCCAATCACGTTGGTGAGTGGACTGTCTGGCCCCATCTCTACTTACAACCTCTAGCTTCACAGCTAGAGACCTACACCACCTGTGCGGAGATCGTCGTATTCCTATACAAATACAAAAAAACCCATCTCTACTCACAACCTCTAGCTTCACAGCTAGAGACCTAAACCACTGAGCTATCCAGCAGCTACCCAAATTGCTCACTTTTGCTTGGGGCCTGCTCTAAATTAAGGATTCTACATCTAAGAAATTACAATTCTGCTCTGTAAGATAAAAGGCAGAATTCTGCAATTTGTATTAATGATAGAAATTGTACTATTGGGATAGTGTATCAATTGGTATATAATATTTTTGGTTTATAGCACTGGTTCTTAACCTTGGGTTACTCAGGAGTTTTGGACTGCAACTCCCAGAAGCCTTCACCACCAGCTGTTCTGGCTGGGGTTTCTGGGAGTTGCAGTTCAAAAACATCCGAGTAACAAAGGTTAAGAACCACTGGTTTATAGGACAGTTTCATAATTATTCCACAGTGTTCACCATTTTGCATAATTAATGTTGCTTTTTCAGTCATAGAAAGGGGCAAAGGAGTCATAGGGGAGTCCTGCTCACTGGTGCGGTTATGTCACCAAGCAAGACAGTAGAGACCAGTGGGGAGCATCCAGAGAGCAAGAAAGGGAGTAGAGACATGGGAGAGAACAGAGAAGACAACAGAGGAATGCCTAGCAAGCAACTAGAGAGAGGTTGGGTGAAGACAGGCATCCAGCAAGCAAGAGAAAGAGAAAAGGTGGGTGAGAGAAGTGCGCAGACAGGAGAGGTTTAATTTACTGTATAAGACATGAAAATTCTTCAGGAACCAAATGTTTAGTGAATCATTTTGCCTAATAGGAAAACAGAGTTCATCTTAACAGTGGTTCAATTTACAACGAACACACGGGGGCCTGCTGTACATAGATCACTGAAGCCCACTCCACAACTTGCAAATCTATTTAGACTCTTTTTTTTTACAGGATTTTAGAGGGTGTTGTATTTGTTCTTTTGGAAACATAGATGCTAGAAACATGTTTCTTTCTAAAATAAAAGCAGAGAATCGGAGGAGGCTGAATTCTGCGTCTCGCCACTCACTTCTTCCCTAAATTTACCACTGCAAAAGCTGTGCGAAGCGCAAGTGTAAACATGCTTACCTACTAGAAATTTAAAAGCTGGCGATGCTTCCGATCCCAGAATCTTAATTTTGCTGAAAATGGGGAAAGTCACTCCATAATTTGTTTTTGCAAAATAACTGATCGCCTGGCTTGTGCCTGGCTCTGCTTCTCCAAACTGATTGCAGGGGAAGGCCAGGACTGTGAAGTGGGATGGTCCAAACTCTCTGTGCAGATCCTGCAGCATGATGTAATTTTTGTCTGTGTGCTGGCAGTGACTAGCCACGTTTACAACCAGAGATGCCTTCAGACAGGAAAATGTGACAATCAGAAAAGAAAGGCTGAGTGGCTGGTCAGACTGAACTTCAGAGAAACCCATTAATACCAGTAATCCCCAACTGTTTAAAATCAGTTGCCTTTCCCCTTTGCTAACAATCCTAGGAATGATACAGAAACCATCTGGGCAATTTAGAGAAAGTGAAGTGATTTTATTTCAAGGGCAGTGTTATTATCAAGATGAAGAATTCTGCAACTATTCATAGCAGCATATGCATTGTTTTGAAAAAATAATGGCTTTTGAGCAAATAGTCAAGTATTTATGTTTCCCAATAGGCAACCATGTTACCATGCTGATATTTCCAGTTTCTGCAATGAAACGCAGAGTTGGTTGAAAGAATTATAAAAAAACAGGCCTGTTGGATTAAACCCTTCCTTGCCAACAGCTGGATGGCTCTGCAGTTTGCAAAACTTAAATACGGCAGATCTGAAGGCGATTCCCTTCTCCTCATACTAGATGCTTAGCACAGGACTGGGGAACCTGTGGGCCCTCCTAAGGTTGTTGAATTCCGGTTCCCATCAGACCAATTTTACCTGGCCCATGAGGAAGTGTGATTTGAACTGCAGATCCTCAATATCTGGAAAAGCCAGTTTCTAACACTAATATCTGGTTTTCAGAGGGATACAGCTACCAAGAACATCTGCACCTTCTCTGTTTATATTGTGAGGTATTATGAGATTGTCAAACATCGGAAGTTTAGTATTCCAGCATTCACCACAAGTCTCCCACAAAATTTTATTTTAAAGTCTTTTATTGATGCTACACAAATGCTGCCACTCCTTCCCCTGCAAAAAAGCCATAACATGGCTTCGTTACGTATGAAAAACACAAGCATTGCATGCAAGTTCAAGGACAAAAGATGCCACTTACTTTGCCTCTGTACTTCTCCAAAGAAACCGACCTCCCTTTCGCATCCTTCACTTCAAAGGAATAAAAGTCTCTGACTTTGGGCTTTAAGAACTTAAGCTGCAGGAGACCCAGCAGGGCTGTGAATAATACCATAGAAAAGAAAATGATTAGGACCCGGCTTTTTGGCTTTGAGGTTTTTAAAGAATATGGAGGCAGAGGCAGAGACGGCTCCATTTTGAGGAATTTAAGGGGAAGTCTCAACAGGCCTGGAATCTGAGGAGGAGCTGAAACACAAAACCTACACAGAAACCAGGAAGGGAGGGCGAAGGGATTGGCTGGCTGGCTTGTCTTTTCTGCCTCCCCCCACCAGAAGTTGCTGAACTTTTTCAGCACAGAAAATCTACTGTACGACTGCTGTTCATATCCCAAGACCAGCAGGAAATATTAGTATGGTTTTTCAGAATACATATTGAACTGATTTGGTGCATCCATTGTTTGATGCTTCTATTAATGGTAAGCTATCGGATAATAAAATAAATACTGAAATCAATAGCCCAGAGGCTGCCAGAAAGAAGTTCTGGACCTACTGGTGGATTTTAGCTGCTCTGCAGCTGATTAAGGATGACTTTTGACTTCAATTATGGTGCTGAAATGAAGAGTGCTTGGTATAATTAGGAGTGGGTTTTTGTGTAGAAGAACCATGGGCTTTGTTCAGTCTCTGTACTCTTGGGGTCAAATATCTATAATTCAAACAGAAGTTCAGGTGTCTGACTTAAGAGCCAGAGATTGGGAGTTTGATTGATTCCCTTGACAGGGGCTGGACTCAATGATCCTAACTTTGTTCTCCTTGCAGTCCAGGGGACTCTCAAGAGCTTCCTCCAGCACCACAATTCAAAAGCATCAATTCTTCGGCGGTCAGCTTTCTTTATGGTCCAGCTCTCACTTCCGTACATCACTACAGGAAAAACCATAGCTTTGACTATGTAGACTTTTGTTGGCAAGGTGATGTCTCTGCTTTTTAAGATGCTGTCAAAGTTTGTCATCGCTTTCCTCCCAAGTAGCAGGTGTCTTTTAATTTCGGGGCTGCTGTCACCATCTGCAGTGATCATGGAGCCCAAGAAAGTAAAATCTGGCACTAAATTCATATATTCTCCTTCTATTATAGCTTTGACAATGCGGACTTTTGTTGGCAAGGTGATGTCTCTGCTTTTTAAGATGCTGTCAAGGTTTGTCATCGCTTTGCTCCCAAGAAGCAGGCGTCTTTTAATTTCGTGGCTGCTGTCACCATCTGCAGTGATAATGAAGCCCAAGAAAGTGAAGTGTCACTGCCTCCATATCTTCCCCTTCTATTTGCCAGGAGGTGATGGGACCAGTGGCCATGATCTTAGTTTTTTTGATGTTGGGCTTCAGGCCGTTTTTTGGATTCTCCTCTTTCACCCTCATTACAATGTTCCTTAATTACTCCTCACTTTCTGCCATCAGAGTGGTATCATCTGCATATTGGAAATTGTTGATATTTCTTCCGGCAATCTTAATTCCAGCTTGGGATTCCTCCAGTCCAGCCTTCCACGTGGTGTATTCTGCATATAAGTTAAATAAGCAGGGGGACAATATACAGCCTTGTCGTACTCCTTTCCCAATTTTTAACCAATCAGTTGTTCCATATCCAGTTATAACTATTGCTTCCTGTCCCACATATAGATTTTTCAGGAGATAGATAAGGTGGTGAGGCACTCCCGTTTCTTTAAGGACTTGCCATAGCTTGCTGTGGTCCACAGCATAATCAATGAAGCAGAAGTAGATGTTTTTCTGGAACTCTCTGGCTTTCTCCATAATCCAGCGCATGTTAGCAATTTGGTCTCTAGTTCCTCTGCGCCTTCGAAATCCAGCTTGTACTTCTAGGAGTTCTCCGTCCACATACTGCTGAAGCCTAACTTGTAGGATTTTGAGCATAACCTTGCTAGCGTGGGAAATGAGTGCAATTGTACAGTAGTTGGAGCATTCTTTGGCACTGCCCTTCTTTGGGATTGGGATGTAGACTGATCTTTTCCAGTCCTCTGGCCACTGTGAGTTTTCCAAACTTGCTGGCATATTGAATGTAGCACTTTAACAGCGTCATCTTTCAAGATTTTAAATAGTTCCACTGGAATGTCATCACCTCCACTGGCCTTGTTGTTAGACAAGCTTTCTAAGGCCCACTTGACTTCACTCTCCAGGATGTCTGGCTCAAGGTCAGCCACCACACTATCTGGATTCTCCAGGATATCCAAATCTTTCTGGTATAATTCCTCTGTGTATTCTTGCCACCTCTTCTTGATGTTTTCTCCTTCTGTGAGGTCCCTACCATTTTTGTCTTTTATCATGTTCATCTTTGCACAAAATGTTCCTTTAATATCTCCAATTGTCTGGAACAGAGCTCTTATTTTTCCTTTTCTGCTATTTTCCTCTATTACTTTGCAGTGTTCATTTAAGAAGGCCCTCTTGTCTCTCCTTGCTATTCTTTGGAAGTCTGCATTCAATTTTCTGTAACTTTCCCTATCTCCCTTGCATTTAGCTTCCCTTCTCCTCTCTGCTATTTCTAAGGTCTCATTGGACAGCCACTTTGCTTTCTTGCATTTCCTTTTCTTTGGGATGGTTTGTGTTGCTGCCTCCTGTACAATGCACCTGCAAAAAGTATCCTGAGTCACCAGGCTAAGTACTGTAATTGCAAATTGTTCCCATTTTGAAAGATGAAATCAATGAGATGTATGTCCATAAAAACTGTTCATATTGGTTTCACTGTGACCTAAGCATAGCTAATTTAACAGTTCTGTAAATGTCTACTGTGAAGCAGATTGCATTCTTCATCTTGCTTTAGTGTACACAACATTGCAACCTTTGTGTAAATCCTACCTGGAATGCATTCTTTATTAAAGCCACATTTTGATCACACAAAACATAACAAACAAAGGAACACAAACATTCTGTAATTTGTTGCATTTGTTTAACACATATATTGTTTAACACTGAACTTTTAGATCTATCAAGCAAAAAACATATCTCTTGTTATTTGGTGCTGTTTTTGTGCAAAACAGACTCCAGGCAAGACCTCCTATTCACAGTTCAAAAGCTACATTGTGAAGAAGCTGGTGTTCCAAACTCCAGTTGCAAGTAGCCCAATTTCCACGAGATGGCAGCAGGCATTCACTAGGAATCAACCAGAGCAAAGTTTTTCAGAATGGCCTTCTGCTGAGCTTTCCATCACAGATGACGGGTTTAATCGAACTGAGCCCATTGGGAAGCTCACAACAATTCCAGGTCAGTGAACTATAGTGGACAATGCTTAGAAAGTGAAAGAGTTCTGGTAATCATCATTACTCCATTACATTAGCTCAGCACTTCCAACCTGGAACATTCAGGGCTGGCTCTACCATTATGCAATGTGAGGCAATTGCTTCATGCAGTCATTACTAGGGTGGGTGTGGTATCAGCAGTGACAGGGTTCCTAGTCATTTGTTGTTTGCCCAAGCTGTTCCCTACTGTTAGAGGCTGTGCCTATAAGTGTTCTGTAGCAGTGGTCCCCAACCTTGGGCCTCCAGATGTTCTTTGACTACAACTCCCAGAAACCTTCACCACCACCTCTGTTGGCCAGGATTTCTGGGAGTTGATGTCCATGAACATCTGGAGGCCTGAGGTTGGGGACCACTGTTCTGTAGCCTGCCTTGCACCTCCTGAAATACCTGGCTGTCTTCTAATGTGGCAATGGCTGCTGTCCCATTACTAGTACAAGGCTGAACCATTTATTCTTTTGCCTTGTCTACCTCGAATGGGGGGACGTGGTGGCGCTGAGGGCTAAACCGCAGAAGCCTGTGCTGCAGGGTTAGAAGACCAGCAGTCATAAGATCGAATCCACGCGACGGAGTGAGCGCCCGTCGCTTGTCTCAGCTCCCGCCAACCTAGTGGTTCGAAAGCATGCAAATGCAAATAGGGACCACCTCAGTGGGAAGGTAACAGCGTTCCGTGTCTGAGCCGCACTGGCCATATTACCATGGAAGATTGTCTTCAGACAAAACGCTGGCTCTATGGCTTGGAAACGGGGATGAGCACTGCCCCCTAGAGTCGAACACGATTGAACAAATATTGTCAAGGGAACCTTTACCTTTACCTCGAATGGGGAAGCATCCTGTGTTTTGTCTCAGGCAGCAAACTCTCTTAAGCGGGTCCTGTTTATGTAGGATAAAAGTAATTCAAGTTGATCCTGCCTTGCACCTCCTGAAATACCTGGCTGTCTTCTAATGTGGCAATGGCTGCTGTCCCATTACTAGTACAAGGCTGAACCATTTATTCTTTTGCCTTGTCTACCTCGAATGGGGGGACGTGGTGGCGCTGAGGGCTAAACCGCAGAAGCCTGTGCTGCAGGGTTAGAAGACCAGCAGTCATAAGATCGAATCCACGCGACGGAGTGAGCGCCCGTCGCTTGTCTCAGCTCCCGCCAACCTAGTGGTTCCAAAGCATGCAAATGCAAATAGG